CACTTCTTTGATCAGTTTTTTTATATCATCTGTACTCTCTCCTGTTTCTTCCTTGACTCCAATCACTCTGATGTTATTCTTCTTTGCATTGTCCAGCAGCTGCTGGATTGATTTCTTGTGGTCCTTTACTATTTTTAACAATTTTTTTCTTTTCCTCCTCACTAATTGCAATCCTGTCTTCTATATCTGAAACTCTATCCTCCCATTGGCTCATTCTGTTGCATAAACTTTTGATGGAGTTTTTAATCTCCTGGAAATCTGTTTGCATCTGTTTTATGGATTCCATTTGTTTCCTATGTTGTGATTCCATTATATTCCTCAGCTCCTCTATTTTTTATCTGTGTCTGCTCTAGATTTATTAATCATGTCTTGTACTATGAGCACAACCTCCGCTGTTATATTTGAAATTATTTCTGATTTCATTTTTTCTAGGTCCTTTTTTGTTGCCAGTTCAGGGAGTCCAGGTGGTTGAGTATCAGATTGTTCCATTTCTTTACCCTGTGGGGTTCTCTTAGGTGATCTGGAAGTCTGATTTTGGGACTTATTTACTTGTCTTCTCATTTCAACAGTTGCAGCCTGCTCTGTCATTGTTGAGGCGACTTTTTGCTCACCCAGTGGTCTTGAATTCTCAGCAAGCCACCGAGCAGCCTTTACTCTGCTGCTCACCAGTACACCAATTCCTGGGTTCAGAGTGATGGCCTTCCGGATCCCTGAGCTGACCTATTGTCTGAGTGGGCTTCAGGCTGGGGCCTGAGCACACTTGAGATTGTATCTAGGCGTGACTCTTGCTGGGGGCCCTATGTAGCTATTGTCTGGGAGAGCCTTTGGCTGGGGGCTGTGTACCCCAGATCCTGTTGTCTGCACAGACTTTGGCTAGGATCTCCTCACACTTATCGATGGTATTGGAGCGAGCCTCTGGGTTTTGCTAGTGTGTCTATACAGCTCTTCTCCAGGCGGGGGTCCCTGGCTGTGGCCATTAGTATGGCGAGCCTCTGGCTGAAGCCCATGTGCCTGCGCAGCCCCTTTCTGGGCAGGCCTTTGGCTTGGGAGGGTGTGCCCAAGCCTCTGGGGTCCGGGCAGAGCCTTGGCTGGGATCTGCTCACAGCCACGCTGGTCTGGGCCACACAGATGCTCCCCGGGATCTGCACACACTCACGGATGAAATGGCGGGCCTTCCGCAGGAGCCCGTATGACCTCAAAATTTACTTTAAAGGACATTATCGAGAAAGTGAGATGATCTATAAAATGGGGGCAAACATTTGCAAGTCGTATGTTTGATAAGGCACTTGGCTAGATACACTATATATCTAGAATGCATAAAAAACTCTTACCATTTGATATTAAAATGACAATCCAGCTTTTCAAAATGGGCAAGGAACTTGAATAGAAATTTCTCCAAAAAACATACAAATGGAAAAATATATACCAAGATGTTTAACATCATGAGTCATTACAATGAGCAAATGCAATAACATTACAATGTTATCAAAGCAATACCCACAAAGACAGCAAAAATCAAAATGACAATGATAAGAACTGGCAAGAATTGGAGAAATTAGAAACCTGATTCATTATCACTAAGATTGTAAAATGGTTTATTCCTTTTAGAAAACGTTTTGGAAGTTCCTCAAATGGCTAAACATTACATTACTTTATAATAGAAATTCCACTCCTAAGGATATATCCAAAAGAATTAAAACATTTATGTATACAAAAATGTGTACAACAATATTCATACAGCATTATCTTTAACAGCCAAACTGTGGAAATAACCTATGTTAGTCAGCTAATAAGTGAGTAAGTGAAAAATGTGTTATATCTATATAGTGGTATACTATTTGGCCATAAAAATGATTGAAGTACTGAAACATGCTACAGATCAATGAACCCTGAAATGTTATGTTAGATTTTTAAAAACCAGTCACAAAAGACAAAATATTATAATCATTTATATGAAATGTAGAGATAGTCAATTCATACAGACAGAAAGAAGACCAGCTTCCAAAGGTTGGGGGAGAAGTGGTAGGGAATGACTGCCAATGAATAAAGAGGTTTTTTTCGGAATTTAAAAACTACCATGGTTAAATACTCCTGCTCTAAAATTAGATAGTGGTGATGGTTGCATGCATCTGTGAATATGCCAGAAACCAATGAATTTCCCCACTTTGGAAGGGCAAATTTTATGGTACATAAAGTGTATCTCAATAAAGCTATTATTAAGAATTGTGTTTGTATATATATATATATAAATTGTCCCCAGGAATATATATAAAAACATATAAGATGTACAAGAACATGTGTTTACCTAGGCAGTGGAACTAGGTAACAGGAAGATAAAAGGGAAAGAAAATTGTAGTTCTTACCAGTCCTCTTTAATACTTTATGAACTTTGTACCTTGTGCAGATATTAGCTATTTTCAAATGAACCAATATCAACATATATGAATATATAATAAATACATTATATTATTTATATATAGTAATATATTTACATATTATATGTATCTAGTATATTTGTATTATACATATTAGTATATAATAAGTAAATATTTTGAAAAATAAACTTTACTAGTTTCAGAAATCTATGAACTCCACCAAACAAGTGCAGTCTCCCTTCCACATCTTTTCTAACTCTTCAGTACCAGCCAAATGATTCTGCCTTCCCCCTTGCTGCCTGTTGCCTCCAGACTGTTTCATGAGTCATTTCACTCACCCAAGAATTCCTCACTGCTTTTCTCCTTTCTGCTTCCTTTTTCTTAGGATCTGACCCCAAACTCATCTTTAAGACCATTATTTGTTTCACTTTCTGTCTCTAAACATTCACAGGTGGTATTTTTATCATTTTTATCAATGTAACTAAAGTTTCTTTAGCTCACAACAGGATGGAATGATGTTAAAAGTGAGGAGGGGGATTGTGAGAGAATCTCCACAGAACCTCCCTGCCGTGGCCTTCTGACTGCTCTCCCCGGGCTTCAGTGTCCTGGGCAGGCTCACAAAAAGCACAGCATGGCTAATGGTTTTGGCCCTGAGCAGTGACTATAGGTCCTGTATCTGTCCTTATATCACTGGTGTTGATGCCATTTGATTGCCCTTCACTGTAATCTTTCAGCTGTGCTCATGGGATTTTCCCTGCCCTACCTCTCTGCTGAGCTAGCAAAGCAGCACTGCCTTTGTCCCACACACAGCTCCCTGGGAACACAGCTCCTTGATTTCACTGACTTGTTACCAGACCTGTTCCCCAGAGACTCTGGCCAATGTTAGTGGTTAGAAGTGGTTCAAATGACACAGATGTTGCAGCAGACACAGTCATCATTGCCGGCTGACCCCATCACAGTCTTCCATGTGCTAGCCCCACAGTATTCTTTCTTCAAAGCGAATCCCCCAGGTATTACACTTAAGGAGTGAAGAGGTTACTTCTTCACTACCAACAGAGCATTTATTTGTCAATTCAGCAGAGCCTTTTTGACATGGCCTTGCTGGGCTCAGCTCATGCTTCAGCCTTTTCTGGTTGGAGTCTCACACTTGCTGCTCTTCCAGGTTGGAGTTGCAAATTTGCACTTGACAAGGAGCTCTCTGTGGTGGTCCCATCCCTACAATAAAGTTATGTCTGGCCCCCCACTGTCAATGACATCCTTTCAAATTTACATGGAGAAATCCATGCTTCTGCAGCTTTTGCATTCTGCAACTTTTCAGAATTAGCACCCTATAGACACTGCCTTCCATGGCTTGTGCTTTCCATCATGGCAGGTAAAGATATATCCAGGCTTATATGAACCACAGCTGGGGTAGCCATGAAGCATTCTACCAGAAAGCAGGGAGCAGAGACCCAAGGCAGCTCTGGACAGTGAGCTGACAGAGGGTACCTTGGAACCATCCATTGAACCCACTCTGCCCTCTTAAGACTCAGATGAAGCTTTGGGTTTCACCAATAGAGATGAAGCTCTGGACTTGTGGTGGAAGGGATAGCTTGAAAGATTTCTGAAATATTTTCAGGGTCTTTCTCCTATGGCCTTGGTGATCCTTTATATGTGCATGAGTCTCCTTAGCAAATGGTCACTTGGCCACATCCTTGGTTTGCTCTCTTAAACATGCCTTTTTACCCTTTAGACAGCCTGGCTGCAAATTTTCCAAATCTTTCCATTCTATTTTTGTTTTAATTATAAATTCTATCTTTAAATCATTTTTTCCTCTTGTACTTCACTATATGCAGCTAAAAGTAGACCTGAGGCAGCCTGAATTCTTTGTTGTTTAGATATTTCTTCTGTTCATTTGTTCATTGTTATTGAGTTCTGTGTTCCATAAAGTCCTAAAACACATATGCAGTTCTGCCAAGGTCTTTGTAATGGTGTAACAAGCATGGTCTTTACTCCAGTTTTCAGTATTTCATCACTCATTTCCATCTGAATCCTTATCAGAATGACTTTAACCATCCACTTTCTACCTGCATTCTTATTACAACAGTTTAAGTAATCTCTAAGAATATCTAAGCTCTCTCTACAAATTTTGTCCTCTGTTATGCCCTCAACAAAATTGCCTTTAAAGCTCTATTCATGACAATCTAAGCTTTTTCTAGCTAACTTCTCTAAATTCTTCCATTTCTACTCATTATACAATTCCAAAACTACTACTACACTTTCAGGCACTTGTTAATAGCAACTCCTATTATCAATTCTCTATCTTAATCCGTTTCATGTTGTTACAACAGAAGACTTAAGAATTTATAAAGAATAGAGATTTATTTAGATCATGGTTCTAAAGACTAGGAAATTCAAAAACATGATGTGGGAATTTGGAATGGGCCTTTGTGATGCATCATTCCACATTAGAAGGCAGGACAAAAGAGGGAACTACAGAAAGAAAGGGCATTCAACTATCCCCCTTTATAACTCAGTCACCTTAGGTACATTTAGGAGGACAGTGCCCCTATAATGTAAAAGCCTGTTAGTGGTTCCACCTCCTAATATCATCACAATGGCAATTAAGCTCCAACTTAGAGGCAGCATTTAGAATCACAGCACTTTCCATAATGTGAAATAAAAAGAAGTGAAATAGAAGTAGCTGGATAGAAAAAGTGAAGGTAGGAACCTTCCATCTTACCACTAAAGCAACCATGATAAGAGCAAGGAATCAAATGAGAGATATGAGGGGTTTCAATAGGTAGAGAATCATGAGGTTTCTTGGACTAGTGACAAAGAAATGAAGGAAAGTGATGCTATGGAAAGAAATGTCTTTGAATTAATTTTAAAAACAGAACTAAGATGAGATAAAATAAAATAGAAAAAGGAAAAGAATTAGGATTGAGGTCAGCACTAGCAAAGAATGCTCTGCTTTCCTAAACCTCGGCCAAGGTGAGCTGTGGAATTCCTACACCATCTATGGATAGTATATTTGCCACTAGGTGGCAGGCATGTGTCTAGAAAACTGAAGTCCTCACAAAACTCAGTGGTTGTCCTTCCTGGTGTTTCATCAGCTCACTTGAGATTCTTGTTTCGACATTCTGCTAGGAAGCATTTTAATGTTAAATGCAGTTTTTCAGTGCTCATTATGATGGTCAAAATCATGGCCCCAAACAGGAATTGTCACTGAAGTCACTGGTGTGTGGTTTTCTTCCTACTGCTAAGAATTTACAGGTAGAGGCCCCGCCCCGTAGTAATTTGACACTTCTGCTTTAGAAATGTCATTCCAGTCTATCCCAAAAAGAGTGAGTAGAATAAGTCTCGGGTCTGGAACAATTGGCCATCTGGGATTCTATTTTTGTGTTGGTTTGGTTTTCTTGCTTTTTAGCTTTAGACAGGGCTATCTATCATTTTCCTTTCCATACAAGATTAACATTGAATAAACCACGTTAGATCACAGTGGTATAGATGCTAATATGTTTTGATAGATATTTCTTTTGTAGCTCCTCTCATTTGATTTAATATGCAAATAAGATTGCATTTGTTTAGTGAAGGGTATAGAATACCAATTTGATCACTTCACAAAAGGGATTAGATGGAGAACACTGTCCATGTAGTGTTTACATGTATGCATATAATAAAAAATATTTAAAATAGTGGTGCCAGTACTGATTTTAAACTTTCATAGCCATATGTTTCTTAAATGGTATATGCCAATATTTCTTACTAAAGGAAGAGATCCAGTGGAGACCCAGAGAGTCAGATGGGCTCCAGCTCTTTGAATGAGCTCATATTTAGTCCCCCAGAGTCTCTCCGGTAGTTTCTGCAGGATCTGCTGCCATGTTAGAGAGGGGATTGCTAAACTCTGAATAGCCCCACTAACATAGGAAGCTGAGTTGTTTCAAGGTTAATTTGGGAAGAGAAAGTAAAGAAGGTTCTCTGAGATGTAGTAGATTCTGTGGCTGAGCCTATAATAAGGTCAATGAATAGAAGGATGGCTATGGATCACCTTTCGCTTAAAACTCCCAGAAGTATGTCTCTCAACAGATACTTCCAATGCTAGCCATGAGCCATCTTCAGGCTGTGTTGTCTTCAGTTATTTTTTTAGCAACTGGCTGTGAAGCCAAACCATTTTAGCAGCCATAAAAGACTAAAAGACCCATTTTTATAGTATTAGCCTCTCCTAAAGAATAATGGCCTCAAAACAAACAGGAAGTTTCCCTAAGATTACAGATGACCATTAATTATTTAATTATTGATTACAAACATGTTACGGCTGAATGGCAATGCCAATGAAGTCATAGTAACATCAACTCTGGATTGCAATGCTTTTGCCCAAAGAGGAAGCCAATTATTGGGGAACAATGAGGAAGGTAGGTGTCAGTGTGTGTTAATATTTCAGTGGGAAAGAATTAGGGACAAATCTTAGCTCCTCACCTAAAAAAAACAAAAAGCAAAGCAAAAAACAAAAAAAACCTCACCTTTGACTGGAAATGGTCCAATATGGAGGGCAGGTTCACCCATCAGGGTGGTAGGACATTGTTCTGTGTCCTTTACTACCCACATCTTTGTTTCTTTTTCTCTCTCTCTTTTTTTTTTTTTTGGTATCAGGAATTGAATTCAGGACCTTGCACTTGTGAGGCAGGCACTGTGCCACTGAGCTAAATCTCCAGCCCTCTTGGTTTCTTTATTAGGAATTTAATTGGTATTTTCCACCCTTTTTCTATGTTTAGTCTTAAGCCTTAATATAAAAAATGACTCACCAAATTTCAAAAAAACCTTAAATTCATATTATTTTTGTCCTTTGTTTGATATCCATAGAAGATTAGTTCTAGAGGGCCGAGGATTTAGCTCAGTGGTTTCACCGCCTGCTGCGCAAGCTCAAGGACCTGAGTTCGATGCCCAGTACCAAAAAAAAAATATGAACCAAGAGAGTATGTAGAGGTGCATATCTCCAATGATGAATGTCATTATATTGTACACCTAAAATGTACCAATAAAAGGATATACAAAAAAAAAGAAGATTAGTTCTAGGACCTGCCACAGATACCAAAATTTGTAGATGTTCAAGTCCCTCCTTTAAAAAAACACAGTGAAGTATTTGCATATAACCTAAGCACATCCTCTATTCCTATATACTTTAAATCTTTTCTGGGTTACTTATAATGGCTAGCACAATGCAAATGCTACTGTAAATAGTTGTTACACTCTATTGTTTAGGTAATAATGTCAAGAAAAACATCTGTACATGTTTAGTAGACATAATTTCTTTTTCTGAATATCTTCAGTCCAAGGTGGCTGAATCTGCAGGTGTGGAACCTGCAGATAAGGAGGGTCAACTGTAGATATTGCATATATACATAAATATATGTAAATATGATTGTCTTCATCTGTGCAACTACTTACATATATTTACATGACTTACATATGCATGCATGTATATAAGAAAATATGGCCTTTTAAAATTAAAATTAATAATACATACTTCAAAAGAATGAAAGACTATATACCTATATGTTAACAATAGTTATCTCACAGTGTTCTTTTGTTGATTTCCCTTTCATCCCATTTTGTCTGAGTTTTCCAAGTTTTCTGCAATAATCGTATATTGTTTTGATAAGTGCAGAAAACTATATGAGTCCAACAGCTGAGTTGACCCTCAACTACCTCTTCAAGTAACAAGCACTGACTTGGCCACATCACTACATGTTTGTTTTCACATCTGAAGTAAAGGAGGTGACATTTGCCAACTTCTATTCATGGATGTTGAGGAATCAAATGTGAAGATTATCTGAAAACACTTGGTAATAAAGATATATATATATCTTTATATCTTTATATATATATAAATTAAAATACATACATGGCCATAATCTTTTCAATAAAGCAGCCACTGTAAGTAAATCTGCACACAATAAATAAAGAGAGGCTATTTCAACAGCATGGGTGGGGCTGGCTGGCTGTTGGGGCACCCATCAGCATTCCTTTGGGACATTGCAAACTATAAAGAGTTCTAAGGGTATCTGTCAGGGCCACTTCTTGCCCTTTAGTTGGCCTGGTCATTGTGCAAAGGAAGCACCTGCCATAGTCCATGTACTCATTTACCAACAGACTGGAGCCATTGTTTACCCCCGAATGTGAAACTGGCCGGGGCAAGAAGGAATTGGGAAACAAGAAAGGCAGCCTGTGTGAGGTCAGGACTGGGCCATAGCCTTGCTTCCCATAAGCCTTCTCTCGTCTCTGGGTGATGAGAAAGTTCAAGTAAGGCAGTCTGTGATTGAAAGTTAGCTTTCCCTGTCGGTAAAGCGAGCAGCTAGCCAGGTGGCAGAGTTTGAAAACTGTTTGAAGGACTTGGTCCAGAGCCTCTTGACAACCAGCCAAATACCCAAATATCCACCTCTGGTCTCATAGTCTTGCACTATCTGAGCATTTAAACTAGATTTCAATTATTCTCCTAACAAACAACATTTGATGGTATTCCTTTACCTGATTAACTCTTTCCTAATAGTCAACAGAAGACCGCCTCAAGGAAAAGGAAGAGTCATAACTGTGCACCAGGCGTACTGGCTATGTGACCTCAATCATGGCTTTCCTCCTCTTAATCTCAACTCCTCCATTTGTAAATTAAAAGGTGAGACTCAATGATTACTGAGGTCACATCCAACTCTATAATCCTGATGACCAGTAAGTTTGGTGAGGTGAAGGATTTCATGACAGCCCAGAAATACAAGGCTGTCAGGACTCCAAGATCTGCTTTTGGATGAAGCTCTAAGATGCTCAGGGGTACAGTGAGGTCACCTAGAAATAGCAAGGGATATGGAGCTAAGAAAGTACCCACCACTCTGATACTTATGACTGGATGCTCTTTATCCCACACCTGTTAAGTCCACTCTTAAGGATAAGGCCATGTCTTATATGGGAGAAATTGATTGCAAGTTCAACAACCACTTCTTGTCTTTTTTCTGGGCCAGAAAAAATCCTGTCCACAATAGTATAAACTATAAATAGTTGTTAATGTGGTATCTTAGCTCATTTTGTGTTGCTATAACAAAATAGCTGTACTTCTGTACTTTACAAAAGAAAAGAGGTCTGTTTAGCTCATAGTTCTGGAGATCCAAGTGTATGGTGTTAGTATTTTGGCTCAGCTCTGGAAAAGACCTCATGGCTTGTGACATGACAATGGTGGGAGCGTGTACTTAAGAAGTCAGAGAAGAGACAGGAAGCAAGATACCTGAGAGTGTCAGGCTTGTTCCTGGTACAACAATCTGCTCTTTTAGAACTAATCTAGGCTTCAGCCACTCACCATGAAAGAGTATTAATCCATTCATGAAGGTGCAACACACATGCCCTAGTTAACTTCCACTTTCTTTTTTGTTATTTTTGTTTTTCTTTGGGGTACCTGGGATCGAACTCAGGGTCTTGCACTTTTGAGGCAGGTGTGGCACCACTGAGCTAAATCCCTGGCCCTTAACTTCCACTCTTAAAAGCTTTCACCATCCCAACACTGCCAGCTGAGAACAAAGTTCCCAGCACACAAAGCTTTGGAGGACAAGTCACATCCACACTATAAAATGTGGTCTGGATTTCCTTCATTCATTACTAATTCAATAAATGTTTATTTAGAATCTACTCCATGTCAGGACAGTTCTACAATACTGAAGTCACAACATCAAAAGCTCTTTTTCCCTCTCCTGCAAAATAGGAAACAGCCTACATGGTATTATTGTTTCTCTAGTTGTCTGAGTGAGAGCAGACACCATGTTACTCTGGCGATTTGTTCTCCCTTCTTCCCCATTTTCATCAAACCACCTTGGTTTGAATCATCACCAAAGAAGCAAGGAGTGTGTTATGGGTTGAATTACATCACCCTGAAATTCATGTTGAAATTCTAATCCCCAATACCTCAGAATGTGACCTTGTTTGGATATAGGGTCCTTGCAGATGATTGAGTTAAGATGAGGTCATTAGGGTGGACCCTAAGTAAATATTATCATGTCCTTATAAAGGAAAGAAATTTGAACAGGAAGACAGATAGACACAAGCAGACCATCATGTAAAGATAAAGATAGGAATCAAGAGTGATGCATTTGCAAACTAAGAACACGGAAGAATCCCAGTAAATCACCAGAAGTTAGGAAAAAGTCATGGAATAGATTCTGCCTCAGAGCCTCCAGAGGAATCCAACCCTGCCAACACCTTCATCTTGGAATTCAAATAGCTAGAGCTGTGACCTAATAAATTTCTGTTATTTAAGCTATCCAGTGTATGGCACTTTGTTACAGCAGCCATAAGAAACTAGTGCACAGAGCCGTGATCAAACTGTGCTGTTCTCTTAGCGTAAGGCTCATAAATATGGAAAGTGGAGGGGAGAACAGATAAGGGTATGGATGGTTGTGTGTCTCCTAGTAGCCTTAGAATTTCAGGCTTGTAACACTCTTGGGCGAGGGGTCAGAATCTTTTGAGGTGTTGCCAACAGTGAAGAGGAGTGTGGGGGTTGCCATTTTGGGACTAACTTCTCTATCAGCACTGACTGGCTCTGGCTTCACATGTGGCCTGATGGCTTTCTTTGTCATGTTCTCCTTGCTCCTCAAGGATGTGGGCCTGCCCTTGGCTTCTCTAGCACATCCAATATACAACCCAGGCTATAATTCGACACCATCTCTGTTTTTAAAGCTACTAACTTCCTTTGCATGTTATGATAATCTCCAAATTCTGGCCCAATCCTGGTTCTCCCCTGACCACTCCAATGTTGACAGCAAGCACTCATGGAGACCATCCCCCAATTTAAACCAGTGATAGAACAAAAATGTCAGGGGCCTGTTTGAGACCTTGGAAGGGAGGAGGGTAGAAAAGGGAGAGGTTTTATAGAAAGATGATTTCCTCTTTTTTTTTGCTCTGATCATAGTAAGAGAGCATAACTACTCACACTTAGGTTTTCCCAAGCATTTTTGTGTATAGCCCCTTTGAACTATACAATCACCCTGGGTAATAATTAAGATAGATGTTGTTATTTTCATTTGGGTTTCCATGTTATAGAAGAAGAAATAGGCTCACACAGATTATAAAACTTGATGCAAATCACACAGTCGAAAAGTGAGCCATTGTCTGTTATTTGTTTTTTTATTTTTATTTTTTACAGGGCTAAGGATCAAACCAAGGGCTTTCCACATGCTGGACAAGTGCTCCATCCCTGAGCTATACCCCAGCCCAAGCATCCACTGTTAAATGCAAGTTCTTCCTGCCCTATCAGGATCGCCCATTATGGGTCAGCATTCAAGCTGAAGGAAAATGCAGAGTTTGGGCCAAGATGTTGGAGGCAGAAGCCGACCAAAGCAATCACTGACTTGGCCCTCCCTCCTTGTCAAGTGCAAACAGGCCCAATACCACACACTAATAACAAAAACACCTTGCATTTATGTAACACTTCACAATGGACAGCTTTTTGACGCATTATCTGATTTTCACAAATAATCCCGTTGTGGGAGGGCAGGTGAAAGTCAGTAATCCTCATTTTATAAACAACTAATCCAGTATGGTTAAAAGCCTGGCCTCTGGTCACAGAGCCAGGGTGTAGATGTGAGACTCTAATCTACTGTTTCAAGTCTATCTTATTTCCTAATGCTGAAGTACAACTCTAGTCCAGGAATGGCAATTATTTGGCTCATACACAGTCCTATCATTTCCCGAACCCCAGGCAGATGTGCCCAGATTTGCCCTCAGTCTCCTCATCAACACAGTTCTCCAGGCAGCTGTTATCAGCCAGAATGAGGATAACAGGATGAAGACGAGTTCTAGCCTATTCTAAGCAAAAGCAGTGGCTATAATAGGCTCAGGGCACAGAGAATTCTTCTAACTAGAAATCTGGCTCATGATATAAGAAGAGCCTAATAATTTGTTCTCACATAGTGAAATTTACTTATTAATTCATAACTATCAAGACAATTTTAATGGCTTATTTTTGTGCACTAACTATATTCCAGGTACTATATTAAGTCTTGTCAATGCATTTTCCTAAAACAGTAGATCCCATTATTGCCATTTTATAGGTGAGGCAATTGAGGATTTAAGAATCTAGGAAATTTTCCAGGTGTAACCTGATACTGCCAAAGTCCAGGAACCATTCCACTTCACTATTCTGCCTCTTAAACATTATTTGTCTTTTTTTTTTTCAGTGCTGGGGATTAAACCCAGAGCCTCCCATATGCTAGGCAAATGCTCTACCACCAAGTTATGCCCTCAACCCAAGAATAGCAAGTTTTTCAATTCTTCATGAGGAGAAGCAATTCTTACTTCTCTAAATCCATGAAATCAGCTACTTGTATAAGAAAGAAAACAGTAAGTGGAATAGATACTGAAAGTAAAATTACTGAGCCAGCAATCTTAGCAGCCAACTTGCTCCTGCTAGTGGTGGTGGGTGGAGGGTTTGTAATATGAAGAGAAAGTGGACGAGTGAGCTAGAGTCTCCACATGTATGGGCCCAAGGCTCCTGGCAATGCAAGAAAGCCAGAAAGCAACTGGGCAGGGGACAGCTCTACTTACAATACCATCCTGATATGGAATTCAGAAAATTTCAAGAATCTCAATTTGACCCTGAATGTCCACATTGTTATGAGGTATATTTGTCAAGTTAGAAAGGTAGAACACACATTATTGAGCAGTTTGTAACTTTGCACTCTTTAGATGTATGATTAATGGGCCTCCATTTGTACTTTTGTCCATTACCCTGTGTTTGTTAGAAGTAGATCTGGTGAAAACCAGACTTCTGAGCTTCTGATGTTTTGCTACTTTTGCAGGCAAGCTGCTCATTGAGGCATCCGTTGTGCTGGTGGTAGAAGCAGAGGGCCCAGCTTCCAGTCATTAATTCCTTGAGTGTCACAGCAACAGCTGTTTGTTTATTTTCTTGGTGCCCACTGCAGCAGACACAGCAGGAGCCAGATATGGCAGCAATGGTAGCAGCATCCTGAACTCCATCCTCCTGGTCTTAGCCTTGGCAGGGGCTCCAGGGCCACCTCCCCAGTTCAGAAGGCAGCCTCTCCAGTGCAGACAAAGCTTTAGTGGTCTGGTTCTTTTTAGGGAGTTTTTCCTAAAAGCTTAATTTTAAATCTGCTTCTTCAAACTTCTCAATGATTCTAAGCCATATAAATCCTTGAAATAAAATTTTTCTGCATAAAAAGACTGGAATGGATTCTGTTCTGTGCCACTGAGTGACACGGGTATTTAGCCTCTCCTCCAGGATGGAAATTCATATAACATAAGGAAGACATCCTTGGCTATATTCTAAAGTGCTCCTCTTCAGTTGAATCTACTCTTTGGTGAGTTTCTATAGCTTTTTCCCTGTACTTGAGTTTAACTTCTCTGCTATGGACTGAATTGTCCTTTCCTCAAATTCACATATAAAACCCTAATTTCCAATGTGATAGTACTTGGAGATGGAACACTTGAAAGATGTTTAGAGTTAGTTAAGGTCATGTGAGTGGGACTCATGCTGGTATTAGTATCTTTACAAGAAGAATTTCTAAAAAGCTTGCTTTCTCTCCCTGTCACATGAGTACGTAGTTAAGAAGTAGCTGTCTACAAGCCAGAGAAGAAGCTGGCACTTCAACTTCCCAGTCTTGAAGACTGTGAGAAATAAATTTCAGTTCTTTAAACCATCAAGTGTATGGTATTTTGTTAGAGAAACCCAAGGTGGCCAAGACACTTTTGGATCCTTCTTTCAGATCAGCAACTCTGCTTCCTTCATCTCCCTGGTTTGGTTGGATGTGGTTCCTGAACACTGCTGCTCAGACCCCTTTGAAGGCATCAAAGCCAAGGGCCAATCCCAACAGTGTCCCAACCCAGCCTGAACTTCTGGAAACCTTGGCCAGGTGTGGCAGCTCTACATGCCTCTATCTCAGGCAGAGGACAGAAACATCAGTGTTTGCTGAGACTCTGGGCAGAAGAGCTCAGCAAGAGCCATTTGGCAACACTTCATTGGAACAGTAGAGACAGGGCAGAAAGGATATAGTCTTGACTTTGTTGTCCTCATAAAGCACCAAGAATGGCACTCACTAAAACTCAGAGAGAGCTGAATGCAAAGAGCACGTTCCTTGGCTTTCAAGTTTTCTACAGTTTCTCTTATATTCTCTCAAGGGCTTGAAGCAGTTTCATTTTACTACAAGTTCCTGCAAGAAAATCTCCAAATTCCAGTGGCCTGGCTTTATCAGCTTTTCCCTCAAGTTTGAATGATCCTGCACAGACTTACTGTAATTTCATTTGAAGCCAGTTTTCTCTCATCCAGCTTCATCTTCCAGCACATGAGCTCATGACTTTTGTATGATTTCAATATGAAGTCATCAGCTGGGCCCCAGTTTCCTGGATGGGCTTTAAACCCTCAGGATCCTTTGAATAAACCAGTGGTAAGTCTCAGGGTTTACAGTGAAACCTGAAACCCAGAGTTTCTCCAAGGTCCTCTCACATTTATATAGCAAATCAAGTCTTTCTCTCTCTTTAAACATTAAAACCTTTCATGCTGCTGCTCCTCTTCTCTTTCCACCTTCTGTCTCAAAGGAAGAGGAGGAAGAAAAGAAAATTCCACTCTAAGACAACTGCATTAAGAATGGACAAAAAGTGTATATTTGAAGTATCTATTAATAGAGTCGACATTCTGAAACCCACCCAAAAAGTGTAGGCCTGGAGTTCTGGAATGTGTATCGACTGAACATTCCTAATTTTCAAAGTCATAGCCAACAACAAAAATTACATTGTGATATCAGAGTCTCCATTCTTTTTCACATACCCATGGGTCCTCTCTGAGCCAATATCATGAAGGAGGTTATGAAAATAACAACATGACAGTCAGGATGATGACAGCTTGAGGTTATAGTTCAAATTTTTAAAAAATTGATAGTATATAAAATGCATGTAATTCCATCTACTTTAATTAAACCAAGTATTATTCAGTGTCTACAATGCTCCTAGTGCTGTGCTAAGTTCTAGGAAATACAGTAGAACCGCTGTACATCAAATGATTCCTTTCCTTTCCTCAATGACTAAGAGGGGGCAAATATCGAACTTGTGAGATAGCAACAAAGGGAAAATATCTAAGCCACATTACTGTCATTAAATCTGTAGGCAGTCAACATAGAGAGATCAAAGAAGAAAAAAGACAGGAAAGTAATGAGAGGCAAAGTCCTTGAGATAAGGACTTTGTCCATAATGTCTAGATAAGGATTGGAAGGTATTTTACCTAATGCTGATGTAGATGACTGTTCTCTGAAAAAAGATAAATCTAAATCTAAATACAACTCCCCTGTCTCAAAGGGAGTTTGTGAAGTGGTCAAATGAAAAAGAATGGGAGACTCAATATCATCTCTTGGACAGAAGTAAGCTGTTCCAAGACATGGAAAGTCCTCAGAGGAGCAGACTGGAAATGCAGTGAAAAAATTAGAGAGGAAACCAGTGTGGGTGAGTATCCATAACAGAGTTCCGGGTTCAATTTCTTAGTCACATCATCCTTGCATTCTGTGTTTGGAAAAGATGTGATGAGGGAGAATATAAGACTGTAGGATGAGGAAAGAGAAAAAACTACTGCTGAGATGTATGGGAGAACTGTGAGGGTACAAACGCAAATGTAAATTAACTCCTTCTCTACTCTTAGGCACATTAAGAAATCTAAAATTGCATGAATTTCCTCTGCCATTATCCTCCATATCTGGTCACCTGTCTATTTGCTCATTTTTTAAAAATGCCTCTTTCATTATCCCAGCCATTCAGAAAGGAAATGTCTCTCATCACTGGGTAGAAGAAAAAAATTGTTTCATATACTTCTAACATTTAGTGGCTGGACCTTCAAATTAAGCTGAAAAAAGATTAACAGGAGAAAAAGTTTATTTATGCATGGAATAGACTACACATAGAAGTACTAAATGACGAATAATTCAAAGGGATGGTGAGAATTTGGAGCCTATATATCTAATGTTTTAGGAGGGAAGCAGAGGGATAAGAAGCTTCTATGGGAAGAACAAATAGGTTTCTTCTGGAAAAATAAATAGATGCCTCTCGGGAACAAATGGGAGATAAGAAAGCTTGTGATGATGTTTGTCTATAGAGGTATATGAGTAATCTTTCTATCTTCAGGGACATAAAACTCTCCAGAGAGGTGACTGCTATAGCTTGGATCTGAAATATCCCACAAAGACCTAAGTGTTAAAGGTTTGGTCCTCAGCTTGATCCTATCGGAAAGCAATGGAAACATTTAAGAGGGAGGCAGTAACAAGTTTCTGGTCATTATGGAGACTATGGGATGCCAGCCTCTCTCTTCTCTCTCTCTCTCTCCTCTTCTAAGCTGCATGAAGTGAGAAGCTTACTCCATCACATGTCTCCCACCGTGATCTACTGCCTCACCACAGACCCAGAAACAACATGGCCTAGGAACCATGTCCTGAAATCTCTACAACTGTGAGCCAAAGCATACCTTTCTTCTTTTTAACTTGTTTAGCTCAGATATTTTGTTATAGTAACAGGAAGCTAATTAACACAGAGATTTATGTTAGGTTTGCTCTTTGTCTCTCTTTGAGGGAAGACTTGCCCCTAAGAAGGAATTTATGGTAATCTTCATTTCTCAGAAATTTTTACATTTAGTCAAATGAAAGAAGCACCAAAAAGGCTTCTTTGTGTATCTGTTGAATCTCAAAAATCTTCAGCCTTAAAATAATCTTTACACCAATTCTGAGGTACCAAGCAGGTCCCCTCGCCTGCACCTCTGCTTTCAGTTCATAGCCAAATATGCTAAAACTGTGAGTTTCTGAAAGGTCTTACTAATCATTTTTAACCAGAATCTACAATAGTTCTGGCCCATGGTTTGCCTATTCATTAAATGCTTTTGGATAAATGAGTAAACAATGTAAAATAGAGTATTAGTTTCCTAATACTTATTATACAAGGACAACAGACAAAAATTATTATACTTCTTCGGAGTTAATTTCTTAACAGAGATATCTCTTTACCCCTGACCTGTCTCCTGCAATACCCACCTGTATTCCTAACTTTTTAAGAGCTTTTTCGGCCAGAAAGTTTCACAAGCATCTCAAATTCAACATATCCTACAACGAACCCATTGTATTTCCTGCAAACCTGTTTTTCATATGTTTTCTAACTCAGGGAATGGTCCATCTCCAGCCATCCAACTCACCAACTGATGTCCATCTTTCTCAGCTCCACAGTGAATCATCAGGCTGATACAACCTCTACGTTATCTATGGAACAACCATTTCCTCTACCTTCATCCTCACCTGGGTGTTCCAGAAAACTCTTAACCGGTTTCCTATTCCTAGCATCTTTTTCTTTCCACATCTTTCAACACAGGTAGCCAAACAGTCTGCTCCTGAAGATTCTCCAAGTACAGTTCTCCATTGTTCAAATGTTCTCTTTCCTTAAATAGAAAAAGACATTGTTGACATTGTTCAGGTCCTACCTTGCATCGGTGGCAGACCACATCTGCAGCATCTTTAAGTCTCATTGTCCTCTACAGTGCACCCTAAATCTGTTCATATTAAAACCAGCTCCTTTTCTCTTCTTTCTCCACTCTGGCTCCTCAGCTTCACACCCAGTTCATGCTCAGAAGTGGTTCACTTTACCTCAGACCATTTTAAGGAATTTTAGAATTACTCTGCTTTCTTAATATTTCATTTCATTAGGCATAAAAACTAAACCCTGATAATAATTTTGGCAGAGACAAAGGGGTCACCAATGTCATTGCTAAAAGATATTTGGGAGGCATTTTCTGTTTCTCACTAGGCATGATTCTCTCAAAGCCATGACTTTGTGCTCCACTAGGTGGCTTATGACTGATCCTCTTTACAGCAGCTTCTTATCTTCTCTACCAGAGTTCTGACCCCATAGCTCTAACACATAATACCCAAATACCCATGTTTACTAGACAAACAATTTACTTCATTGTTGAAGCTGCTCCCATGGTAGGTAAGACCTAGGTGGACTCCCTTTCAATAATCAGTTCCATTAAGTTATTTTCTGGAACAAAATGATGGTTCTCTGCACAAGAGAATTCTGTCATCCCCATAAGCCAAAGCTGTCTTCTAGATGGCTTTTATGGTAACATAATTTTTTGGAAGGTTTTTGGGGTCAAACCACATTTCATTATTGTTTTTCAGCCTTTTGATATCTTGGGTTCCCAATTGTTCAGAAGAATGATCTTCCAACAGCAAAGAGAATCAAAATAGTTAAGAAAATGACCATTGGGAAGTGGGAGGACAATATTAGAGAATCTATATTTATTTTTTCAATTTGATGTATATTTGCCTATGTTAATCTGTGTATAATATTTTCTATCCATGTACTAAAGAAGGGGAACTTAGAAGTATGAGGTCAGAAAAATTTGATATCAAAAAGTTTAAAGACAGTCATCCCAGAGGATAAAACTCCAGTGCTCTCAGAATAACTTTCAAGGCCTTTGCAAACAGTACTTCCTATCGGTTGGATCTTGAATTTCTTCCAAAGGCCAATATATTAACAGCTTGATCCCCAGTTGATGGCACTGTTGAGAGATGGCAGAACTTTTATGAGGTAGGGATGAGTGAAAGGAAGTTAGATCATTGCGGATATGCCTGTGAAAGGAATATTAGCACTCTAACAACTCATATTCCTTTCTGTCTTTGCTTCCTAGACTCGATGTGGTGAGCAGCTTCCTTTGCATGTGCTTTTGCCATGACATCCTGTCTCACCACAGGCCAAAAAGCAACTGTCCATGGACTGGAACCCCTGAGACTATGAGCCAAAATAAATCCTTCCTGTTTTTAAATTGATTTTCTCAGGTCTTTTGTTACCATAATGCAAAACTGAACTGCACTGTGCCCCCAAAGTGTTTCATTTATTAGAGTATAATTTTCCAAAAAGTAAAATAATATCACAACTCATGTATGAATATAAAAATTAATACATGTTAAAGATTGTATTTAGCTCATTATTAATGAAGGATTGGGCCTGGAAAATCCAAAGAACAAACACATTTATAGATAAGAAAAATTGACAGAAATGTGCAAGTTTATGCAAGACTGGCTTCTTCCAAAGTTGGGAGAGGGAGTCAATTGAATTTCCCAAGTTCACAAATCTACATCTCTAGAGTCAAAAACTATTTTGCATTTCTATCATTAAGTTCTATAACTTAGTGAGATATAAAATACTTCAAATGATAGGTTCAGAATTCAAATAAAAGCAAAATCAGCTCAGAAAGGTGTGCTGTAGACCAGGGCAACCTATGTCCCACAGGCCAAGTCTGGCCTGTTTTGTAAATAAAGCTTTATTGAAACACAGCCATGTTATTTATGCATTGTTGATGGCTGGTTTTCAACTACAAGGCATTGCACTGTTGAGTAATACCTACAGAAGCCACATGATAAAAAACCACCAGCAAAGATGAAAATATTTATTATTGGGTTCTTTACAGAAAAAGTTTGCCAATACTTGTTTTAGAAAACAATGGATAGTTTTTCAATGAAGTACAAATTTTTCTTTACTCTTTCTTCACACAAATATGTCCTGTCTCCCAATCACCCCACCTTCCACTGCAGGCACCCCACGCTCTGGCTTCACTGGAATGCTGCTGGGGCTCTGCATCAATGAATTTCAACATGCAAGTCATGAACCACTCAGAAGATCCTTCCAATGGGCCTCAGGCTGATTCCAAAGGCAAATACTTGTTCTAGTTATTTTGAAGTGAGAAATTTACAAATCTATGTACTCATAATAAAGAGAATAACTCGTGTCAAGGACTGCTTTGGGCTGAATTGTATTCCACAAGATTCATATGTTGACATTCCAACCCTCAGAACCTCAGAATGTTAGAACATTTAGAGATAGGGACTTTAAAGGGGCAATTAAAATTTAAATGACATTATGCAGGAAGGCCTGAATCCGTGAGCCTGTATTTGATCATAGGGCCTCTAAAGAAATGATTAAGTTGAACTGAGACCTTTAGGGTGAGACCCTAAATGAATATGACTGATGTTCTCATAAGACCCCATTGATGTGCCCAAACAGAGAAAAGGCCATGCAAGTTCAGAGAGAAAGTAGCTATCTGCAAACCTCCTGACACCTTGATCTTAGATTGCCAACCTCCAAAACAATGAGAAAATAAATTGTCATTTAAGTGTTACAGTTTGAAGGTTTTTCTCTCCAAAATTCATGTTGAAAATCCCCAATGCACTGGGGCATTTAGGTGGTGATTGGGCCCCAAGGACACTTTTCTGGATGAGATTAATACCTTATATGAAAGAGTTTAAGAGGGCAAGTTTGGTGCTTCCATTTCCTCTGCCTCCTGAAGATCCAGCATTCAGTGTGGCATCGTGGAAGCAGAGACCAGGCTGTCAGCCAACGCAAAGCCCACAGAGCCTTGATCTTGGGACTGCCAGCCTTCAGAACTGTGAGAAATAATTTTCTGTTATTTTTAAATTACTCGGTCTCAGATATTGTTATAGCAGCACAAACACTCTAAGACATTAGGCCACTCAGTCTGTGATACTCTGGCGTGGCAGTCTTTTTGATCTAAAACAGGGCCATTCATATTACTTAATCAAAAAGCTGCAACAAGGGTGCACACCCTACCAAGGTCCCAAGTCACACGGAAGACGCCAAATCAGCCCGCAGCTCCAGCAGCAATCCACTGGACCCCCCACCCACCCCTGCTCCTCTGTACAGCCACCTGGTTCCACACTACAAAGACACAGAAAACACCAGACCACCAGACCATGGTACTGAGTCCCACTGCTCCTGGCTCAGAGGTAGGGGCTTCTGAGCCACTGTCCCACTGCTCCTGGTCCAGAGGAAGGGGCTTCCCGGCCATCATCCCTCCCACTGCTCCCAGCCCACAGGAAAGGGCTTTTGGGCCACCTTCTGTCCTGCCACTCCTGGCCCAGAGGAAGAGGCTTCTGGACCACCATCCCTCCCGCTGCTCCCAGCCCACAGGAAAGGACTTTTGGGCCACCATCCCTACTGCTGCACCTGGCCCCTGTCCCACCTTTCCCAGCTCAGAGGAAGTAATCCGTGCAGGAACCAACAG